GCTACCTTCTGCGTCAACTCCCTCGCCCACTGGCTAGGTGACCAGCCCTTCGATGACCGCAACTCCCCACGCGACCACATCGTCACCGCCCTCGTCACTCTCGGCGAAGGCTACCACAACTTCCACCACGAATTCCCCTCTGACTACCGCAACGCCATCGAATGGCACCAATACGACCCGACCAAATGGACAATCTGGATCTGGAAGCAGCTTGGCCTCGCCTACGACCTCAAGCAGTTCCGCGCCAACGAGATCGAAAAGGGCCGCGTTCAGCAACTGCAGAAGAAAATCGACCAGCGCCGCGCGAAGCTCGACTGGGGCATCCCGCTCGACCAACTCCCTGTCATTGAATGGGACGATTACGTCGACCAAGCTAAGAACGGCCGCGGTCTCATCGCCATTGCCGGTGTCGTCCATGACGTCACGGATTTCATCAAGGACCACCCGGGCGGTAAAGCGATGATCAACTCCGGTATCGGCAAGGATGCCACTGCCATGTTTAACGGCGGGGTGTACAACCATTCCAACGCAGCGCACAATCTGCTGTCGACGATGCGGGTTGGGGTCATCCGTGGCGGCTGTGAGGTGGAGATTTGGAAGCGAGCACAGAAGGAGAATAAGGAGGTAGAGTCAGTGCGGGATGAATATGGGAATCGGATCGTGCGGGCGGGGGCGCAGGTGACGAAGATCCCGGAACCTATTACTACAGCTGATGCAGCGTAGAAAAGGGTATTTTGTTTCTTTTTTCTCTTCATTTTTCATTTCTTCCATTTTTCCATTTTTTTTTTTTTTTAGAGGCGGGGAAATAACGTCGCGCGACGGATATTACGATAGAATTTTAACGAACTAATCGCCTGGCCGCCTGGGTCGGGTCAGCTGTGTTTCACGAGGGGCCAGGAACGGTTGATGTGATGTGATGGACGGATGTTCTATGTAATAACGGAGCGCATTGCTGCATTTTGAGATTGATATTAACCTTGTATGTTTAACTTCTCTCGTACGGAGTGCGTGCAATAAATAAATAAAATAAATAATTATAAAAATAAAAAAGTAAATTGAAAAAAAAAAAAATTCGTCGCGTCGGCAGTGGCACAGACAGAGCTACGAATTCTCCAAATGGCTTTGAAGCCGGATTCTAGCAAATCTCAGTTCTTGGAGCTCATACAAGTTTCGCGCCATCATTCTTAACGATTTTTCCCCCCCTCAAGTCTAGGTATCACACCTACTACTAGTGCAGTGCCTCTCCAGTCCGTGTCTGTTGCCTGGCTTGGCCTTTGTTTCCGTCTACCGTTAGCAAACTTTACGCCGCTGTGACCTGCGGGAGGGCCCCCCGTTTCTCACTGAAAAATGCATCCTTTTGCATGATAATCATAAGAGAGGTAGGTATGCATTCCCGTTGTGGTTGTTGTTGTTGTTGTAGTTCAAGGCGTTCAGGGTTCCACGGATGCCGTAGATGCCGTGGAGACTATTGAGTAGCTTGTATTTCATGTGCGTAGTGATGCAAGGGTAGATATATAGTTTATCGGGTGTGACCCTGGAAATAGGTTAAGGGAGAAGAGAATGTGGGGTCCGCCAGGGGCCGGCGGAGGGAAAAGGATACTGGTATTGGATGGAAAGGCGTGGATACGATGTACGCTGGTATCGGAGTAAAAATTGACCGTTCTCTCTCCATTTGTTATGCTTCCAGGGCAGTAAATAACATGATCCGATTGGAGAGTTCAGGCTTATGAAAATGAATATTGTTGAAATCTGCGCACTTTAGCATTTATTTCAGTAATCTCGGAGTAAAACGCAAGACGTCCCACCGACATTGAAATGTCAGATGCAACGTCTTTGTTCACTCATGGGGAGATGAAATAGAGCTTTTTTTGTTAAAAAAAAAACCAAAAAAATATATGAACCAATCTGATTCTAGAGTTTCGCTCCACACAAGTCATCAACATTAACCTAGTCCGGAAGTTGGAGAGAAAAAGCTGGTGTCGTGCTCTTCGCCCTATGCGCACTTCAATACTAGTGTGGATGATGTGCGCTGCAAGTCGCATGCATGCCAGGATGAAAAATGGGAGCGAATGGCGAGTCAAGGGAAATTAAGAGCGGACATGGATGTTGAAAGCATAATGGAGAGCATCAAAGAGACGAGATATATGTCAGATAAGTTGTATGGAAAGGGTATATCAAGAGTATTAATTCATACTTTTCCAGTTTGCGGTATATTGTGATTTTATAGCTATGGGGAAAGCGAAAGATAAAAACAAAGTAAATAAAACACCACAAAAAAACGAGGTAAAGGTGGCGGGGAGATATAACAAAGACAATTAGATAGAGACAGGTTTCCGGGGGTTTTTCCCCAAGTGCCCGACTCAAGGACAAAGTGAACAAACAAAAGTTCATATATAGAATAAATCGTAATGATAAGCTTCGTGAGTGATGGTGGTTTTGAAAAGGCGGAGTCTAGTCACCATCTCAAGCGGTGCCATGGATTTCGATTTCTGCTTCTAGGAGCTCCTCCTCAAAATTCCTTGTCTATCCACACAATGTCCGGTTCCAGCAAGCGTACAAAGAAGCGAAAAGGGAAAAGGGGACATTCCACACCTACGCATCCAGCGCATCTAGATCAATCACATCCTCCCTCCTCCGAATCATAAGCGGCGCAAAAGGATTCGCATTCATCGAAAAGGAATACGGAAACGGCTTGATCATCGACCCTTCCACTATTTTCAGGTCATACTTCAGGAGCAAATGGCAGAGGAACACTTTGATTTCGTTGGCAGCGAAGAAGCGGCCGGGGCACGCATGTTGGCCATGTCCAAAGGCTAAGTGGTCCGGGCTAGTACTGACGAGCTGTGACAAGTTTTCTTGTCCAGGCTCCTGACGTTTGTTGTAGAAACGGTAGCCGTCCCACTGGTCTGGGTTAGTGTGGATGCTGGGATCCCACATGCGGTGGCTGGAAACTGCGGTTGCGGTGTTCCTGGGAATAAAGGTGCCATCAGAGAGGCTAACGTTGGTGGTTGTTAGACGGTTCATGCTGACTGCAAATTTGTAAGTAAGAGTCGTTTCTTGTTATTCTTTTCTCTTTTATTGCCATAACGTCTTTTGTTTTGCTTCAGCGGTTGGAAGCGAGGGTAGATAGCTTACTAGAAGCAACGGGCTTCATGCGTTGACTCTCCTTGATGACGCTATCTAAAAGCTTTAATTTGTAGAGTGAGTTCTTTTTCCATCCCCCTTCACTCAAGGATTCGATTATCTCCTTTCTCAGCGGCTCGATAATTTCCGGATGAGAAGCTATGTCAAGGATTACTTGGGTTGAGAGGTCGCTCTAGGTGACATTGAAAGTCGTTTGCATTCAGAATCGATCAGCATCTCATGTTTTGTCGTTTGGGATATTGGTTCAACCATTAATCCCACAAAACGAAGGCCGTTCTATTACATTTCAAAATGCTCCGTCTAAAGCAGAGGGCTTCTCTTACCGTAGTATGAATTGCAGCAAGGCTGAGTCCAAGTTGGGCTATAACTGGGTCAAGAGTGAAACCTTCAATTGTTGTGGCGCTGGTAAACCATTCAATAGCATCATTGATCTCAGGAGCTTTCTTTCCCTGTGCTGCGAGGGCGGCCTTCTGTTCTGCACGCCTCTTCAAAATAGGTTCAATAACCGTACGTGCCCTTACAATTTCAGCTCTGGACGCCTGCATTTGGGCAAAAACCAGTGGACGATGTTCCGAAGATAGGGGGGCCACATTCTTAGTG